AATGTCCTCCACAACTAGACTGAAGAACAAAACGACAGCAACTTGTCTGTTCCCCTTCCCCAATTCCCCAGCACTGTTCCCATCCCCACAATTCCTCAATAAAAAAAATCTTAAAAAAAAAAAAAAAGTGTGTGTATGTGTGTGTGTGTGTATGTGTGAGAGAGAGAGAGAGAGAGAAATGACGTTCTATTTTTCACCCTAGAACAGTACTATCCAACAGGACTTTCTGCAGTGATGGAAATGTGCTAGGTCTACACTGTTCAGTATGGCTGTCACCAGCCCCCCAAAGGGCTACTGTAACCGAGGAACTGAGTTGTTAATTTTAATTAAATAAAAGGAGCCACATGAGGCCAATGGTTACTGTTCTGGACAACACAGCTCTAGAGTGTGGTATGACTTATAGAAATGAATGCATCAGCACCTTGGCTTAAAAATGTTAACTCACAAAGCTTAGCAAAACACTTCTGATTACTAAACTACCAAATCTCCAAATGTTAGTACTTTGTTAGTAAAAATAGAGTTACCTTTTTAATTAACAAACACTGTAAGGTTACCAGCACACAGATACATTTCAGCACATCTTCCCAGAAGGACATCTTATTAGATTCCTAAACAGTATTATGAATGCAGGTTCTTTATAGAGTTTTCTAAACCTTGCCAGTACACATTTTTTAAACCTTCTTAACGTTAAAAAATGACACAGGAAAAGGGAATTTACTTCAGTCGAGCAACAGAGCAGCAGTCAATTTCTGTAAAATGTGCAAAGAAAAGGTAAGCTCAAACCTATGACAATCTTACCCTTGCAATGAGAAAAATAAAATTTAACTTAAAAAAAAATCTTTTAGGATTGCAGACAAAATAGTCAAATGGCTGCTTATAATCTTTAATTTATTAATTTACATCTATGTATTTAAAATAGATTATATACGGCATTATGTGTATTAATTCATGAAACAATTTTACTTCAACTATTCATTTCTAGCATCAGTGTCTCTGTGGTCCCCTGAGGCCCTCTGAAATGTCCAATTCCATTTTCCAGAGCACACCACCTTTGCATCTATCAAATCAGCTATGACAGAGCATTTCTTGAATCCACATGTGATGCCCTCACTGGAAATCTCGGCCCAAGCCATCAATACCTATTCAGGCGGGCATGACTTTTTTCATTCATCACTGACTGTATTGATTAATTGTATAAACATCCCAAAGCAGCATTGACTGAGATTGTTTTAACCCAATATGTATTTCCCAAACAGCGTCTTGTTCGAAAGAGAGTGAGTGAGTGTCCTGTAAGTGGGGAGACTTCAACATGTGGTGACATCTTTTCAGAGGGACACTTGTCTTACAATCAGGCAGGTCCTGATTTTTAAGAGGCAAGGCTGCCTGGAGTTATCTAAGGGTTTCTTTATGCCTTCTCTAAGTACTCTCTGAGCTTCCAGTTTGGGGTTAAAATGCCTGTCATTTTCCTCTTGGAGTCACACGTGCACACAAAGCTGCCAGGACAAGTGGATGCGCCTTCCCTACTTTCACTCCAATCTCACAATCCGCAGGCATTATCTTTCCAGAAAGCTAATGTGATGTCATCTGTGCTCAGCTTAAAAACTTCCTACTACTTCCACCAGCATGGAGAGTAAAAAAAATTCCACCTCCACTGTGTCACTTCAAGGTTACTCTGATCCGCCTTTGTTCACCTAACTGGTGGGTACCACCCGCCTTCTAACTTCAGGGGCTCCATAACTGAAGGCATTCCCACACTGGCATTCCAACATGGTTTAGCTAAATACTACTCATGCTTCCCAGCTGAGCCATCTCTTCCTTCCAGAAGCTTCATTGAATACAGGCCCTCCACCCACCGAACCCAGGGCCAAACTTCTATCACAATACTCACCATACTATTTGTTTCCTACATTACCATTACCAATACCTAACACTTACTGAGTGTACACCACTTAAACTATTTTAAGTTTATACCTCACAACAAAAGCCTATGAGCTAGGTAACATTCTTCAGATGGCAGAGGCGGCCCACAGAAACTGGACAATGTGCCCAGATGGAACTCAGGCTGCTAGGAGTCTGAGCTCTTGCCCTGTGGTGGTGTCCTGCTGCTCTAAGGGTTCTCCATTAGACCAGCGGCTTCTTCGAGGACACAAGTAAAGGCTTACCAGATGCTTGTGGAGACAGTGAGCAGAACAGCCACTACCTGAGAAGCTGTCACACGAAGAGAGGCTGGAAACTCGACTTCTAGTACTGTCCACTGAGTAATGCTGGTTTAACAAAGGATTCCCAGGGCTCCCTTCCAGCTAAAGCGACTCGTAAGAACAAAATCCCCTGCCTTTCTCCACAGATACCCTTCACAGGTTTGCAAAACTAAAAACCAAAAATCCGTTACTGAGCAGCTAAGTGAGGCCTTTACCTAGTTTCAGAGTGCCAGAAGCACACAGAAACCTCATGTTTAGAGGCAGGAGCGACAAAGCTATTCCAAAACACACTAATCAGATTTATTGTTGATAAGAAAGAAAAATGCTCAAGGCAAGCCCACATTTTGGTTTTCTAGTTGAACACTGATTTTCAAGGCAGAAAGAATTTGTAATGCGTAAAGAAAATCAAAGTTAGTATGCTTCACATTTAATACAAAAAATTTAGGCCTACAAGGAACCTAGAAGACATTTTGACAAAAAGGAAATTATAGTATCTAGTAATTAATATTTACAGAATGCTTTCTATATGTCAGGCATTTACACATACCCTTTAAAGCTCTCCCTTTATCAGTCATTACGCCACTTTTCGGAAGAAAAAACGAAGGCTCCCAGAGGTTACACACAGTTACAATGTTTCAACCGCAGGTCTCTGTAGTTACCAAGCCCCGTGGCTACACTGTTTCTCCAAGTTTAAAGGTGTGCCACTAGCTAGCTCCCTTTCCTGCTCCCATTTTCAAGCTGGGCTGTGACCAAGGTTGGGGATCGCGGCGGAGTCCTCCCCCCACCCCACAACTCAGGTATATGACACACTTGTATCACCTAGCAGAAAACAAGCTCTGCCCTTACTGTTCCTCTCAACACAGCACCCAAAGGCTTGTTAGCTGGAGTTGGCATTCCAAGATTTCAATCTGCACCGTCCGAGTTTAGTTAAACCGCATGGGATCGCACTTACCTTTCGATCCTAGAACCACACATGCTGGGAAATCCGCATTATAAGGACACTTTCACAACTGATGGGAGAGCCGCATAGAGCTTTCCTGCACTCCACTTCCGCTAAGTCTAAAACGATACCACTATTCTAACCATCAAATCACTTCGGACCAACGCCTCATCTAGTCCATTTTCAAAGCCCCGGAGCCTCGCGAGTACCGCCTAAGCGCGCAACTCTCACTCCGCTGTCAAGGGTTAAAGCCCCTCAGAGGCAGCCTTGCAGGTCGGTACCCGTCCAGCACAACTGGTCTAAGTCGAGATCTCCAGTCCCCTGTCACATGCAGAGCTCGATTTCACACCCAGCCACCCACAATCACCATGTGCGAAGTTTAATCTTGAGTTCGGCCAGAAGACATTTCCTTTTTCCTTCAATGAAAAAGATTTGGAGCCGTGCCCCTGCCTGGCTGCCCAGCGCTCAGGACCCATCCCCCGAAGCCGGATGGACCCACCCCGCGCGGGAACGCGGAGCCCCTCCGGGTGCAGCCGCCGACTGCAGGCCACGCCGCCCGCGGCCGCCCGGGGCTCGGAGGCCGACGGGGAGGCGCGCCCGCGCACGGCC